AGAGATTTCTCAATTATATAGTATATCAGAGTTAGAGTTGTACACAGAGCTCAATAAAATAAACCAGAATTCATAAGTTTTCTATAGATTGATTCCCTAAATCATCACCAAATGCATTGCTGGATGTTTGTGAACAGTGAGTGAGGAAACTAACGATAAAAGCAAAGCAGCAGTAAATCTCAGGATGGCTGAAATCCTGAAGAAGAAAACCAGTGTCAAAGGAGCTGTGAGAAGGTGAGGGAAGAAGGAAACAACAATGGTTCTGAACACAAAGAAAGTCTTGGACGTAGTTACTCCTATTTGTCTGACTACCAAATGTATTCAGCCTCATTATGTCTGTAGTCACATAACCTAACTGGAAACCTTATGTGGTTCCTTTCTGTAGCTTTGGGTAGTGAAGCAAATTCGCAATTTCTGTACAGGTGGCAGGTGACTTTAATGACAGTCTTGAACCATGTTATATTCCTTCTGTGTGATTATCTGAGGTCTTTAAGTTATTTTAGAGGAAGAACACATTTAAACTGGTTTAAAAAAAGACATGATCCAATTATACTGAAATAATATACACTCGTCATGTTCGTTTTTGTAGCCTGCTATTGTTTCATCACTGTCATCCACTCTGTGACTTCAATTTTTGGAGGTATTTGTGAGTATTTGGCACTTGTTTTAATTCAGCCTGTATGTGAGCAGCACTGCCCAGCATTTCTGCAATTCCATTGAAACAAGCACAATCTAACCTCGCCTCTGAACTCACATGTTTCCTTCAAAAAACAGTCCAAGCCATAGCCAGTTCTTTCCTGAAAAAGTGGATTAGACAGCTAGAAACAGTGCATTAGAATCACTGTGTCATATTATATGGGATAAACTGTGTTCATGTTAGGAGGGATACAGAATAATGGGCTATGAATTGCAGCCTATTTTCTTCTTTTAGTCTTTTCAGTCTAGGAAATATTACTCTTGATTTCTGGAAGAGGAACAGCCTTTGACTTTGGTCAGTGGTTACTGCAGCATGCAGATATACATATGCTTTATTTTGTTCTAACTAAATTCTAATTTTAAAGTGTTTTAGCCTAGGACAGCTGCTGTAGAAGTATGCTTTAGATTTACCAGACTGGCATGAAAGATCATTGCACTAATGTGTTAGCTGCTCTACTGAGATGTCACAATCTAAGTTTAAAGAAACCTCTGTTCCAATGTTGGCTGATACCCTTCTGTGCAAATGAAGATGTATGTGTACACTGTACATATTCTGGGCCTTTTTCTTGAACAAAGGAGGGAGTTCCTGCTCTTGGGATGCTGCCCCCTGCTCTGACTCAAACTACAACCATCCGACAGCATAAACTGCAGTGTATTTCTTCCCGCCCCAACCAAACAGTCTGAGTTTTTATACAGCAGGAAAGCTTAATATGCACGGAGTGTGTTGTCTAGTGCTGGAGCATATTGGATCGCGTATTGAATTAGAAATAGGCAATACCTTTTGAAATATGTCTTACTGTAATGCACCATTTTAAAAACGTGTTGACAGAATTTTGTCAGTAATACATTGTGATATGACAGACAACATTGCCAAACCCTTCTTTGAAACAAACCTATTTTCTAAAAAGTTGTGTGTCGATTCTTTTCATAGGCTCTCTGATGCTTGCTCTCAAGATAAGAGGCCCCTCAGTAGCTGTTACCTTAGGAACCAGCCAGATAAACATCCAATAAAATCTTGTTTTGAAGAGTTTGTTTCTGAATGTCAGTATGAAATCTTTAGCTTATTTTCAGTAAGGCTGTTCCCTCATGCCCCCCCCCCCCCCCAGATTCTCTATACCAGGCAATAACATTTCTTCTCAAAGAGAGATGATTAGGTCAGGGTCCCCTCCTCCCCCCCAGGAAATACATTGCATTCATTTTAGCCTTTAGGAGAGTGGCTTTCTTCAACAGATTGCCTTACATTTGAGATAAGGTATACTAGTATGTTTTTTATCATCATCTTGGTAAACAAGGCTTTTTGTTAACTTTCTTTAAAATTCTTTTTATTTAAATAAGTATATCATAAGTATCTTTAAAAAATGCTACAGTGGTTGAAAAGAGATTTTTTTTTGTACTGAGTAAAAACTTCTGTTTAAAAATCAAATCAAATTCCCAGTTCTGTATGTAAAAAGTATAATAAAAGAGGAAAATAGCAAAATACAAGTGGGTCAGGTGGCTGCTTCATATTTTTGTTTTTAGTGATCGTTTCACCATGTTATGTTCAGAAATAGAGTTTTTCATTGCCGCATCATAGACCATGAACTCTTGCTCTGTAACCGCAAGCTGAAACTGACAGGCGAATTCAAGAGCAGTACTGCAGTGCTTTCTCTACAGCTGAATCATATTAAGTGAATACATCAAAAGGTGGGGGATGGAGTAATACAAAGCTCAGAGGTGCCTGCAGTTCTAAAGGTTTTTAGAAATATTAAATTCACACTCAGCTGCAAAAGTCTATATCTACATTTGTATTCAGTTTTACACTGTGCCTCAGGTGAGGGCAGTACAGTCTTATTGGTTGATATGCTACGATCACCTTACTTAATACTTCACATCGCATGAGACTTACATATTGATTTGAGCATTTCATTTCTTCCCTTATCCCTCTCTGGACACATCCTTCTGTCGCACACACCTACCCATTTAAACGGAGTGGAATGGGGGTGTGGAAGGAATGGGTGGGCTGGACCATCCCCAGCCCAATGCAGGTCAGGCCTACCACACCACAGGCAGGGCAGGGAGCTGCTCCAGCCCAACTGGGTGGTGTGCCCCCTGTCTGGCCGGGCTGGTGCAGTCTCCCACCTGTGGCAGGCACGCTGCTGTTCCAGCCTGGCTGGGCTGTCAGTTAACCGTACCGGAGAAGCATCACACAGGTAAGTGTGATGCTCACCAGTTAGACAGTTAACCATTCATATCCCTTCTCTCTCTCTCTCTCTCTCTCTCTCTCTCTCTCACACATACACACACAGAGCTAGGTTTTTTTCCACAGATATGACTGGTCAAATAATTAGAAACAAAGTAATACATTTTGTAGGGGATTTTCTTTGTGTTTTTTGATATTCATCAAAGAATGTGTTCATTATTCACTGGTTGAGAACCAGGATATCAAATCTGATCTGCAATTCCAGGAGGCACTTCATTTGGTAGAAGATCCTTGAGCTGTTTGTAGTTGCTACTTTTAGTGACTTAAGTGGGTGCTGAGATACTTTGACAATAGAGTAAAACAAACCCAGAATATTTCTTTCCTTTTTCTATACATTATACAGCAGGGGTGTCCAAACTTTTTTCAAAGAGAGCCAGATTTGATGAAGTGAACATGCGTGAGGGCCGACCATGTTGCCTGACATTCTTTGAACCATTAAAATTAAATGCAAATTAACTATTTTATGCAAAGTTTATTGCAAACAGCATACTTTTCATTTCGTCACATGGATGACAAATCTAAACAGGTGTTAAACCACTCTGCCTTTCATATCTGAAGGCCAGATGAAAAAAAAATCCAGGAAGCTGAAACATATGTCAGGAACATTGTAAAGTACATTACATATTATTGGTAATAAAGGTTGTCTGTCAACTTTTAAGTTCAAAAAATATGAACAGGAACATAACACCAAGTATACATGTTGTGTCAAATATATTTATAACTGATTTAGACCAACTGACATTAACTGAGATTTTACAATGTATTCATCTCAATACGTATGGATTCGTTGGGGGCCATAAAAGATAGATATTGCCAAATTACCTATGGGGCCGTATTAAACCGGAACACGGGCCGCAATTGGCCCGTGGGCCGGACTTTGGACATGCCTGTAATACAGGTTTCAGAAATCAGCTTGGCACTAGTTTAAAGTGGGAAATGTTAAAAGTAAATAAAATAAGTATGACTTTTTAAACGTTGGAATTTTTAAATACAGACTACATTACTGGTTACTTATTGGACTTTTTTTGGACATTATTGGACTTTTACATGCCCAAAATTGTTAAAGCCCAGATTTGCAGACACCAATAGCTTGATACTGATTTTCATGATCTAAAGGTCTTAAAGTAAGCCAGACTAGCATATGCAAGCATTGTCAAGTTAGTCCTTCAGGATGCTTGGTGGAAGTTTAACCCTTGACAGGGACTATTTCTCCCGCCTGGCACATGTGCCCCCAGCCTTGCACATATGCAATATTCCTGCATGAAGAAGGTCATTGGGACTTCTCGTCAGTTATGTTCACAGATGAGCACATTGTCTGTGCTCTGCAAATAAGGTTATAAAAAAAAAGAGTGGGGGTTTTTATACTTTGGCTTTCTATGCCAAACTTCATTATGACTCCTAAGTATACACACTTCCATTTTCCAAATAAGCTGATTGGTCTGAATTTTCAGCAAACTTCCCATATTGTATGGCTATTGGATCTTAGTCCAGAAGCATCACAGTGAGCATTGTTACCATATCACAGTTGGGTGAAGCTTTTTTATCTTGGCCTTTGTCAGGAGTTGTGGAGCTGCCAAGGTGGCCCATGCCATGCTCAAATGTAACTACTAGAGCTGAGAGCAGCATCACGAGCCCGCCATTGTAATAGCTGCAACTTCTTTTGAAATCCTCCAGTCGCACATGGCTTAGTGCAGTACTGAAAAGATCTTAAAAATAGATTTGTCAAAATTTGTAAAGGCATAGTGGCAGCTCAAATAATAGCCTACAAGATGTGTTTTCATTGTAACTGCCTATATTACATAAGACATTAGGAATGTTTGCATTTGTATAATGTATGTCACCAATTTGAGAGACGTCTCATTATCCTGGAATGTAGGGCACATAGGACAAATAGTTTGAGCCAAGAAATTCAGAACTGTGGCTGGAAAATCAGTTCTGTGACCCCATAAATCTTGAGTTTAGAAGCTCAGAGCTCCCTGTAGTCACACAGTCCAACATGAAATATTTCTGACAGCAGATTTGTATGCAAGTTATTAATGCGGTCCTGAAAAAATTTCTCGTTTAGCCCCAGTCAGATTCGTTCATCAATGGTCTCATGGCTGAATACACAGTCTCCTGCAATACCTACCTCAGCTACCAGAACCCCAACACGGTCGTCTTTCCCCTTCCCCGTGTCTGTCTCAGGGAGTGACAGACAAGCTGAAAGGTACAATGTATACTTCAATTTTGTTGATGTTTTCTTTACTTCCTTCTCACTCTCATTGCCATAAGGAAAAAGCAAACGTAAGTCTTATTGTGGTCCACAGATCCCTGGATGTCCGCACACCATGTTTAAGGGATCTGCAAAAGTTTGTTAGTACTATAGAACACTGGTTTTCAGCCTGTGGTCTGCGAACTTTGGGATTCTGCAGATTGTCTTAAGATTTCCAACGTGCCCCACATCTCCAAAATGAATAAAAGTTGAAGACCTCTGTAATACAGAAGCCATTAGAAATTCAAGAATATAGCCATTTGCTAAAAGATTGCTTAAGGTTGTAGTATAACTGCTTGAAAGACGATGCCAACCGTGATGCTTAAGGTTGTAGTATAACTGCTTGAAGGACGATGCCAACAGTGTAAACTGTCTCAAGTGGACATGTTCTTCTTGCTCATATGATATCTATCTTGCTGTTTTCCTTGGCAATTGACATTATTACAGGTAGTTGTCCCCTTCATCAAAGCACAACTCTTGCAATATTCCTTTGCTGTCCATATCAAATTCAAGCTTCTCGTCCTTGCCTTCAAGATTCTGTATAACTCTTCCACTGTCCATGTCTCTACTTTCTTCTTTTTTTTTCTCCTCACTCATTTCACCCTGTCCCATCTCATCACTGTGCCTTTTCCCATGTTTCCCCTGTGCCTTCCACCTAGGATGCACTAGCCTCTATCATCTCATATTTTCCTTCTTAAAACCTTTCTCTTCTGTGAAGCCCATCATTATCCTTCCTCCTCCTCCTCCTCCTCCTCCTCCTCCTCTTCCTCACAACAAAGGAATGCTGCACTGCTTACTTTGCAAAGGGAAGCAATCAGACAGGCTAACAAATCCTGTGCACCCCTTTGTCATAGATCCCGTTTCTGGCCATCTCTTACACTCTGCTACAGCTGTATTGTCCTTTTGACTGCAAGTTCAGTGCGGGCAGGGACAGTCTCTTCCAATATTTCTGTACAGTTTTTTGCTGCCAGGCCTCAACAAATGATGAATTAATAACACGGGTGCTTTGTCAAAATAAGGCATCGTTAAGTACCCAGTTATTGTCTATTCAGGAAAACATTTTAAAATAAGGCAAGCCAAAAAAGCTCTTAAGATTTCTGGTCATAGTAGCTGCAGAGGTCTGTAGTTATCCTAGAAAAATTGCATTGATATTTCATTATAAACTTCTTCAATACATCTCTAGAGTGGTATCTTAAAATTTTACTTCCATGGCTTTTAAGACTATTGTATGGTAAGAAAGTATTAGAACAGTTCAAATACAGGACTGCTTAGAGGAACACTAAAAACAAGAAACTGAAGTTCCCTGAAGAAAAGGGTCTCAATAGCTAAATATTATTTTAAAGTTAAGTACAGTATCCTTTACCTAGTGTTTGTTTCATTGCTAATTTCCTTGGGGAGTATTCTATGTAGCTTGTTTTTAAAAATTAGATGCACAAGTGTGTATACATAAGTATGATTACACATACAGATTGGGGATATAGAAGTTGAAATGGCAAGCTATGACATTGTAATTGTGCTATATGTGCAAATTAGGAACACAGAATTTTGCATATGAAATTTGGTGCTTAAAGAGCTAATAAGTATATTTCATTTTATACCCCATTTTCAGTGTTACCAACAGAAGAGCCAGAGCAGTGTACCCTTGTGAGGCAGAACATAGCTCTGAATTATCTTTTCAAATAGGAGCAGTTTTTGAAGATGGTAAGTACTGTGCACACAAATGTTAAACAATAAAACCAAGCAAACTGAAAACCCTCCTCTATGGGAGACAAAATATAATCATAACTATCAGTGATATACTAAGGTGTCTGACTACAAATAGATTGTGACCCAATGGATTCTGGCATGTTGCTATAAATTTTATTGGGAGAGTATTGGAGCACTATGGTGATGATACTCTAGGCTCAGGTGATGAGGCACTTACTTTTCTGTGCTTCCAAATGCATCTCTGTAGGTGAACCTTCCTTTTAACACACTTAGCTTTATATAATTCCATAGAACTTTCCTAAAAGTTTACCTCAGGATTTAGAAAGTATGCAACATTTTAGCCAAAAGGATAAGGTGTTTTTGTTGGGGGGCAGGGGAGAATACATAAGGAGTGGTGAATATATGCATATGGGGAGTGAGTATGTGTTACATGGGGCCAAGTGATATGTCTGTGAACACAGAAGTATAGGTAAATATGGATGTCCATAAAGAGATCCTCCTTTTAGGGCATACTTGTCAACCACCCTGATTTGTCCAAGGGTATTCCAAATTTAGCTTATTTAGCTGGCTTCTACTCAGCTACTTCGGTCTACGGAATTTGGGTTGTCAGGAGCTTTTCTTATAGTTATGCCCTTCTGCTAGCAGGAGCTGCTGTTAAATTCCTCAAGATCTAGGAGGGGGCTGGATATGTCATCTACCCCTAAAAACCAGTTTGGCTTCTATCACAAAGAAGAACACAGAAAATGGGAGGACGTGGAAGCAGGAGCTGTTATGAAGGATTTTAAATAATGCAGTATTTGGAAGTTATTGCCCTATGAATGTGATGTACTATGTGCTGCTATTTGGGAAATATCAAACCAATGGAAAGAGTACCCTACAACTGCCTCTGTTATGAGGACTCGAGACATGGGCATGCTGAAAACTCCCCAAAACTTAAGTTGATCAAAATGCTTACTCAAGTTCTGTGCAGTTTGAAGGACCCCATGTTATCTGGGAATTCATTTCCTGAAAATGTAAAATATGCTGAGATCTGTGTGCTGAAATAAGGGGCACACTGACCCAGAAAAGCCAGGAAATTCTTCCCTTGGCAAGCATACCTGCTTCCTCTTAATTTATTCCCAGCTGTTCAACTTGATACTAGTGTCAGAAATTTGATATGCACTGTGTGACAGATACTGAAACTCTGCTGCAAATTAGGATGGTGTTTCTAGTGTGATCACACAGGGGTCAGTCCAGCATCCAGTACTAACCAATATTTTTTTCATTAATTTGGTAAAGGAGTGGATAGGAGGACACTTACAACATTTGCAACAAGTGAGGAGGAGTTGCTAGCATTTTGGAAAATTCAAGTTGGCTTTCACAAATTGGACAACTGGTCTGAATTCAGCAAGATGAAATTCAATTAAGACAGCTGCATTTAGGAAGGAAAAAACAGATTGGGAATATATAGCTATATGGTAGTACTAAAAAAATGATCTGGGGGATTATAATGGATCACAAACTGAATATGATTCAACAATGTGATAAAATTGCAAAAAGGATTAATATTCTGGATTGCAGTAACAGAAATGTCCTATGTAAGACACAGGAGGTAATTGCTCAATTGGGCATTTGTGAGGACTCAGTTGGAATATACTGTCCAGTTCTGGGTGCCACACCTCAGGAAAGACATGGGTAAACTGAAAGAATGCAGAGAAAAGCAATAAAAACTATAAAAGATTTAGAAAGCCTGACCTATGAAGAAAGGTTAAAAACTGGGCATACTTAAGTCTTGGGTGGGGGAAGACTGAGGAGACATCTAAAGTCTTTAAATATATTAAGGTACATGATAGGGATGTTAGTGTATAGTTGAGTAAATGATTAACCGATAAATTTAGGCTTATTGGTTAATCCTGTCAATTACACACACTCCCTCCCCCTTGCAGCAAGGGGGGGGGGGAGCAGGAGCTGGTGCCCATGAGGAGCTGGCTTTAAACAGGCTCCCCCAGAGCACTGGATCCTCCTGACCCTCTACCACCACCCTTGTGCTGCTGCCTCCCATGCAGGTGGGAGCCAGTACACACACAGAGCCTGCTTTCAAGCCAGGTCCCCATGTGTATTGGCTCTCAAGGATCTGCCGCCCACCCCTACTCCCTTGCTGCCTGTTACAGAGCTCAGACCTTCTGACAAGGGCTGCTGCCACCCCACACTGCTGCCTCTGTAGGCAGCAGCGCAGGCTGGTAGGCTGCCAGTCCACGAGAGGAGCTGGTTTTGAACTGGCTCCCCTCATAGACCAGATCCTGCTTGCCACCTCTGATAGGCAGCAGAGCAGGGTGGCAGGGGGCTCCCTAGGAGTGGGACCAGAGCACACTGGCTGCCAGTCCTGCCCCCAGAGACTTTCAAATAGTTGTGTAACTGATATTTTATGTGGTTACATGATTATTCAATTACACAATATCCAACATCCATAGTATGACAGAGGACTGTGATCACTTGTTCCCCAAGAAGTAATAGGCAACATCTGCAGCAAGGGACATTTAAATTAGATAGTAGGAAAAATGTTTCTATACTGTTAGTAAAGCTTTGAATCTGGCTGTAAAATCTCCAGCACTGGAGGATTTTCAGGACAGGACAGGTTGGACCAACACCTATGACTTAAGTTTACTAGGTCCTGCCTCAGCACAGGGGCTGAACTTGATGACTTCTCAAAGTCTTTTGCAGCCCTACATTTCTCTGATTCTGTAATCTTTCGGAAGCATTAAGTTAATTAATTTTATGTCTGGCTGTGTTCTTCTGCATGAGGGAAAGGTTACCGCAGCTCCTGAAGGAACTAAACAGCATTTGGGGAGTGTGATGGGATGGACTAGGCCCTAAGGCTACCTGCTATAGGCCTTTTTGCTCTGCTACATTCTGCTCCAGAAAAGGGCAATAGAGAGGTTCTCCAAGTAGCCTAGAACAACTCTGTGGGAAGCAGCCAATCAGGGTCCAGCAGGTTAGTAGAAAAAGAGATGCAGTTTCTTTGCTGGAGCTGTAGGAGTGTGGATGGTGTTTGGCTGGCTGGCTGACTGCAGCTAGAGAACCCTGGACAGGACAGTGCTGCCAGAAGCAGGAGAGAGGGAGTAGGAGCCCAGAGTGGGTTGTTGGGACTCCTTTTGGACAAAGCACTGAGGTATGGGTAGAGATGCCACGGGACTGTGGGAAAGTGGCCCAGGGAATTTTAGAGCCTATGCAATATAGTACAAGATGCTCTTTACAGATTGTGACCTGGGGTAGTCTGTGGGTCCTCCAATTCCAGATTAGTCTCTGAGGGAAGTGGCCTGGACATTGAGGCACCCCAGGAGGAGGAACTAAACCCTTTAATGGCCCAGCTGAAGAGCTGGGGTCAGAAAGGCCCTGTGAGGGGAAAGACATTTCCTCCAGGGAAGGAGACCTGGGGCACTGTTCTGTTTTGGGGCAGAGACAAACAGAGAGGTCATCAATCCAAGGGCTGGAAAAGAGACCTCAGGAGGTCATTGAGTCCAGCCCCCTGCCGGACCAATCCCAACTAAATCAACCCAGCCAGGGCTTTGTCAAACCGAGACTTAAAACCTGTAGGCATGGAGATTCCACCACCTCCCTAGGTAACCCATTCCAGTGCTTCACCACCCTCCTAGTGAAATAGTTTATCCTAATATCCAACCTAGACCTCCCCCACTGTAACTTGAGACCATTGCGCCTTGTTCTGCCATCCATCACTACTGAGAACAGCCTTTCTCCATCTTCTCTGGAACCTCCCTTCAGCAAGTTGAAGACTGCTATCAAATCCCCACTCTCTCTTTTCTTCTGCAGACTAAACAAACCAAATTCCTTAGTCTCTCCTCATAGGTCATGCGCTCCAGCCCCCTAATCATTTTGGTCGCCCTCTGCTGGACCCTCTCCAGTGCGTCCACATCTTTTCTATAGTGAGGGGCCTGGAACTGGACACAATACTCCAGATGTGGTCTCACCAGAGCTGAATAAAGGGGAATAATCATTTCTCTAGATCTGCTGGCAGTGCTCCTCCTAATGCAACCTAATATGTCATTAGCCTTCTTGGCTACAAGGGCACACTGTTGACTCATATCCAGCTTCTCATCCACTGTAATCTCCAGGTCCTTTTCTGCAGAGCTGCTACTTAGCCAGTCGGTCCTCAGCCTGTAACAATGCTTGGGATTTTCTGTCCCTTCTGTAACGAGGACCCTGTTGGACTTGAGCCCCCAAAAGGCTTGGCCTTACTTTTATTTCACATGGTCTGGTAGCACTTTATAGACTAACAAAACATGTAGATGGTATCATGAGCTTTCATGGCACAGCCCACTTCTTCAGATGACGGGTTTTGAGTTTAGGATGTGCAGAGCCAAAATAAATAGGGGAGAGGGGAAATACACATCTGGAGAAGTAAAAAAACAGATTGACAGAGCTCATGATACCATCTACATGTTTTGTTAAACTGTACAGGATAAACTTAAAAATGGTTTAGGAAATGGTTGTAGCACTTTATAGACTAACTCGGCTACCCCCTGAAGCGTCGTTTATTTCACAGACTATGTATGACTTTGCCAGAGGGCTGAGTCAGTGAAGCCCCACCTCAAATATCTAAAGAGAAATTCACCCTGGGTGATGCTTGCTAGTGGTGGGTACAACCCATTACAGAGTGATTCAGCTGAATCACTGGAACTAAATAACTCCAGAGAAGTCCCACCCTATAGGGTGTTTGCTTATACTGGCTCAGGCTGAATTTTCTCAAGACTAAGGGTGTGTCTAGACTACAGGTTTTTCTCGAAAAAACTTCCACTGCATCTAGACTGCTTCCGCATTCTTTCAAAATTAAATTGATAGAATGCCGCAGTTTTGTCGACCGCGGTAAACCTCGTTTTGCGAGGAATAACGCTTTTTTTCAAAAGTGCTCTTTTGAAAAAAGGTGTTCTTGAATGCAAACAGGGCTTTTTCGAAAGAGAACATCCACACTGTGTGGGTACGCTCTTTCGAAAAAGCGGCTCTCTGTCTAGACGTTCTCTTTCTAAAGTGGCTTGTAGTCTAGATGTAGCCTTAGTAAGAAAGAAGGGGATTTGTTGGAAAAACTGCTGTTTTATGTCTGTTTGTTTTCATTTTGAGTGGAAGTGTGGATCTAGAGACCACAGATTGAAAACCATGGTTCTGTGGCAACGCCAGCCTTTTGTGGACCCTTCAGACATAGTCTATGGGTTTCAGGTAAAAAAGCACTGCTATAAAAGGATGAGCTAGTGGCTTTTCTGATCCAGTCAGTGGACTGGAGCTTCTGTCCCAGGAGAACCTCCAATCTTTGCCAAAGGGTTAGAAAGACTTTGGCATATAAGGGTCCATAAGACTGATGGTGACCCATCTTTAAGTCTGTTTGGTTTTGTGTTTTCTCTGTAATGCTCTTACCTTGAGTAATTTGCTTGCTTAGAGCTGTGTGGTATCTTGCAACTGCTGGCAATGCACAGTTGTTAACCCTTTGAGAGAAAGCAATGCACAGGCACTGCCAATTAGGTAAACTGGCTTGCTGGGGGATATCTTAGTGTGAAGCTGTGTAGCCTGAAAGCCCCTGGTGAGAGAGGAGTGGGACAAGTCCCTGCCCCAGAGTCAGCTGATGGCTGGAGATTGGAGACCTCAGAGATATGACTGCTTCTGGAGTGGTCCACATGTGCAGTTTCCCTGAAAGTGTGACACACTGTCCTAGTAGAAAGAAGGATTTAATTGTGCTCAGCTAAATATACTGACTGATATGTGCTTAGACTGATACGCAAACACTAAGGAAGAGAATCTCTGTATGTATGCCCCTACGTAGGGGGATTCCAAGTTCCTAGCTTAGATCCAGTAGGAAAAAGAGGGGAAAAAATGATACAGACAAGAACAGCTAAAAAATGACCCCACAGCCATTTTTTAAAAGGTAGTTCAAGACGGATATTATGTTCCAGAGTGCACCCTACTAACTGTTGTATTGGACCAAAACTGTGTGTGTGGAAAGTTTCTCCGAAACCAAGATCTTTCCATCACCTCCCTCCCCATGCAGCCTCACCAGAATGTTCCTTCTGAGCTTTTTAGCAGGCTAGAATAACTGGAGCTCAGCAAAATATCTTTTTCACTGAACAAAAAGAAACCCCCCAGAAAAAACAAACTTAATTTAAAGCAGAAATATCATATAGCACAAACTTTTGTTTGGCTGTGCAGAGACATTCTCCCAAACAAGTATGTTCCAGGTTTCAGTTCTGTATGTTACAAGAGATGTGGAGACCTGGGCCCCCCAGTCACATTCTCTCTCCCTCCCTCCAATACTCACAGTAAAGGAATGTGCTGGGTGGACGTGCTTCCTGTCACAGAGCTGCCTTGCAGGCAGATCACGTCTGCATCAAGTTAGGTGGGAGACCTTTTACAAAGAAATTAGCTAAATGATTGTTCTCTTCAAAGTCTCTTAATGCAAGTTATTTTAATTTACCTTTTTTTTTTTAGCATGGCTAGGAGGGATCTTTAGTAGAGAGAGATCCACGTACCGGAAAAATCTGGGTTTTGGAAGCAAAGGTGTACAAGGTGGGCTTTTTAACACAAGATGCTAAGACCTTAATCCTGCGCTATGTTGCACACTCATCGAGCTGGGGAGAAGGGCAGGTTGGGAGCTTTGACCCTCCCCTCTCTTGTGCACTAACATGGCCAGAGATCAAGCTTCTTTCATAGTGCAAAGGAAAGATCCTAGGAGTGAGACCCAGTTGTCTTATTTCCTGGTGCATCCAATAGGACATGGTGTTTCATGGCCTGGCCCTCCTGCCAGCTGGTACTTTATGCCCATGGGGATAGTCACGATCTGGGAATTATGTTGCTGCTTTTTCAGAGCAGCAGTACAGTTTATCCAGCAGGACGTCCGCTCCCCCTGGACCAGCACTGCTCTCCTGCTTTGCACAAGGATAATAATTTTGGGGTGAAATCCTTCTCACCTAGGGCCAAATTCTGCCCTTGAATATGTGGGCAGTGCTTTTAGCTGTCATGCTACTTTTAGACAATATCCTTCCTAAAAGTTGGACCATTCAGAAATTCATGACTGGGGTGGGAAGTAAAAATAAGTTTATAGTGAAAGCTAATTACAGCCTCACCAATGAAGTCACTGCTTATTTATTTTGGTTTGGTATCACTCAATGTCCTAGAGGCAGGCAAGCAAAAAAGAAGGCAAAATTTATCATCTAAAAATAAGACAGGAAAATAGAAATGTCATAGAAGTAACATGGTCAAGATGGTAACTAGACATATCATGATGATACAGTGTTCCATAACGATTTTCACTTGGACGCAGCATAAACAAGCTTTGTCAGAAAGGAAAAGGTATCAATGTTCTTTACATTTTTAAAAGCCACCTCCTAATTTTCAGCCATTCTTTTGAGACTCCTTCAGAAAGGCACCTGTCTCTTCACTTATTATAGTATCTACCCTCTGGTGCATTTATACAGAAATCAAACTCCAATGAACCAATTCATGCTCTTCACTTACTCAATTTAAATTCCCATGTGGCCTAATAAGCCCCCAAATGAAGAATTAAAGTAATAATGCATCAATTCTGCTGCTCTACCAATAACCTTAACTATCAAAATGACAATGCATCAATCAAGTTGACTTACAGCTAATATCAACCATTAAAGTAACTGTTAAATTAGTGTCTGACAAAAGGTGTTGCATCCATTAGGGTTCTATCTGTCTCTTCTCCCCACCCTCCAGCTCTGTCACTTTTTTTGCTGTTTTTTCAGGCTTCCTGCATTTCTCTCTTCTGTTCTTCTTTCCCCTTCCTTTTTTCTGCTTTTGCTGTTAGCCTCTCTGTGATTAATCTAATAGTGCTTTTCCAGCACTTATATTGTCATGGACATGTGCCTGGTCCTAGATTCAATAATAGCTTTTCCTCTTCCTCTTGAATTCCCCAGGATGAGTGGATCAGACTCCAATGAACAATATGCTTTTCTGCTTCTGAAAATTTTCGAACCCTGTGTAGCTGTAGCCTGGATATCCCATGAAGGAGGCGGGCGGGTGTGGGGGGGGGGTTTTCCAGCACTTATATTGTCATGGACATGTGCCTGGTCCTAGATTCAATAATAGCTTTTCCTCTTCCTCTTGAATTCCCCAGGATGAGTGGATCAGACTCCAATGAACAATATGCTTTTCTGCTTCTGAAAATTTTCGAACCCTGTGTAGCTGTAGCCTGGATATCCCATGAAGGAGGCGGGCGGGTGTGGGGGGGGGGGGGGTGAGATCCCATGAAGGAGTGTGTGTGTGTGTGTTTACAGTGAGGGTAGTATTAATTCACTCTGGGCAGAAAACTGTTTAGGAGAGAATTGTGACAGTCCATAAAGAATGGATTAATCATTTTGATTATGGACTCCTCACTTCCCATTTAATTCTGCAGAGAAGGACTTCAGAACAATTAAATTGTCAGGAGTATCTGCAGTTACTTCTGCTTTACTGAGTCCTGTCTTATCAGAATTGCATTTTCGTTTAATGTACACAGACTAAAAATATAAATTACACAGTTGTTTCCTACCCAACTTGTACTTTAACACAGTACCTGTTGGTGTTCAGTAATTGGTCTAAGGATTAAGGCTCGGGGCTGGTATGGATTCCATTCATGGCTCTGTCACTGTATGATCTTGCACCCAAATCCTACCCACTACAGGACAAATCCCTACCCACCCTCCTCCAGGGGTATCTCCAGACATAGCAGAACCAATACGGTTTGGGGGAACGGGGAGAGGAGGGAAGATCTAGGGAGTCCACACATGGGCATTGCATGTTCTGTGCACCTGTGGAGGCCTCAGGTTGTGGAGCAGGGATACTGAAGCTGCATTTATTAATTTTTATAAATTGTTTTTTTATCCCTTGCTGGAAATCTGCTAGCAAAATGTGCTAAGTATTATCATTAGTATATGGGTATTTTCAACAGCCCTGTATTCTATGTCAAACTGGGCCAACATTCTGCTCACTCTGTGTGGCAGGCTAGACATTCTCTGGCAGGGTTATTGGAAGCAATTGTCATATAGACAGTACAAAACCACATCTTAGAAGGTTGTCAGATACAGCTGGAGATTTTCCATTTGGGAAGAGTTGGGACACAATTTTGACACTGTAGAATAAATAACATCTAGGATAGCCATATATTTCTGTTGAAATGGATATCCCCAATGTCAACTGCTTCAAAGAAAATGAACAGAACAGGACAATGATCAAGTGATCCATCCCGTCATCCAGTCACAGCATCTGTCAGCCAGAGAGGTTAGGGACCCAAATCATGGACCTAATAGGTTTTTGCAATTAGAGGTATCCCTGGCCATTTGGCTTAACTAGGTAAAACTGGGAAGATTGTACGGTCCATCACTGTTTTGGGATGTGTGTGCATGTGTGTTAGAGATTTCCCTGTGGCCCTTCTTTTCACTTCAACTGACAGATCTTCACCTTAGAACCTCTCCCCAAATTTTCCTCCATTATGTGATAAAAAGGACAAATACTGATACTGCAGTGGGAAATGAGAAGGCAGTCCATTGACGGGCAGGTTTATCAGCTGGTATTTCTGCTGTCCCAGGAGGTGATAGCTTTTGAGAATCAGTCTTTGATCGGCAGTATAGTGCAGTCTTTTTGGGCTGTGGTTAATGTCGTGTCATAATTCTTTTTAATTTCTTTGCTCTGTATTTTTAAACCACAAATATTGTGTCTTCTTATCCCCAGCCAACACAAAGCATCTTTCCTGTTGGGTTGCTTGGTCTAGTAATGAATTGTAGCAGTTTGAGGCCTAGTGCTGCAAGGTATTTTTAAAATGAGGCAGATCTGAGGAAGTGATAAGGACTGTAATCTTTGTTGATTGAGGAGAAATGACAGAAAGGGGACACCAAAGAGCTGCTCTTTAGCCAGAGATTTTCCTGAAACATTGGATATGAACAACTTGCATTTAAAGAGAACTTAAAGACACAGTGTGTATGATTGCAGAGTGACTGACTGGTGAGAGTTAATGTGTTTGTACAGTACACTCAGGAAAAGGATGCATGGAGAAAAATGGGGCATCAGAGCAGGTTATAATTAGGGCCTATTAATCTGGGCACAGTTAATAAAGCCAGATCAATGTCAGTGTGGTGATCTTACTACTTACTACTTTGTCCCTTTTTAATTTTCACAAGACCTCTGTGAATTTTATCTTCAGAAGAATGACACACCAATGTTGCCTTGAGCCAGGTGTAATGGAGATAGATGGTATGCAAACTCCCCAAACAAAGAACTCTATTGTTACAGGGTCAGAAGCGAGGTACATCCCTGCTGTTCCCTTTCTGGTTTCCTTGGGGTGAAAATGATTTTTGGCTTAGAAATCCAATTTTTAAATGTTAAGGTCTATGGGATACAGCCTAAAATATCGTATTGAACATTTCACACTGAAATCTAAACAGTCATAAAATGGCTTCAAAATTCACTCCTAATGCTGCCAATGCAGTGATCTCATGTAGCTCACCAAAGATTTTCTTTTCTCCACCAATTTTAGGTCTTCAGTCTGGGAGAGGTCCTCAGCTCCCATTGACTTCAACTCTTTGAACTATATAAATACCTTATTTTGGAGTTCTTAAACTGGGCCTTTGAATTGTATACACTTTGTCTGATTGCTCCCCTCCATCATAATCATGGCATGTAGGTGACAAAGGGAGGGAAGGCATGCTAATTATTAATAGTACTGTAAGTGGAGAGATTTTAAAAGGTACTTTTCTATGTACATTTTTTCCTTTGGTAAATTTTTAATGAAAACCTTCCATTGCAAATAATGCTGGCAGATTACTGCTATAACTGTTAAAGTATCATTTTAAAATCTGAAGTCAGTTTTCTGCTCTCTGCCTTTTTAAGTCCTCTCTAAACTACAGTTTTTATTTTGACACTGCTTGCTTGAGCAGTGGCATTCTGTTATTGCCTGGTGATAGTATTCACCTTGGGACAGAGCAAAAAGAGTGCACATGGCACATTTTTCAGAAGTACCCAAGCCCCATTAAGTGACTTAAAAGCCTAAATTTTATGGAAAGTCAATGAACCGAAGTGCCTGCTGGCATGTCTACACTGCAATAAGCAGGGCTTGACAAATACGTGGCAAGTAGATTGTAACCCGGAAGAGCCGGGTTTGGGCGATCTGCGCATGCGCAGATTGACGGACAGCGCGGCTCGCCGCGGTTTGGTGAGCCCTGGCAATAAGACACCTGCAGCTGGCCTGTGTGACCTTGTGCACTTTGAAACTTTCAGTGTCACTGTTCAGGCTTGGAGAGGAGCCTGGACTCTGGTATCCTGCTGACTTCAGGGCTGGCCTTACTATGAGGTGAACTGAGGCGGCCACTTCAGGTGCCAGACTGTGCGGGGGGGCACCCCTAGGATCCAGAGTGTAGAAAACTGTGTCTGCTGCTGGTACATATACTCTCTCTACTCAAGATGCACAGAGATGGTAGAGTACCATGAGAGGAGTAGAACAGGAAGTTGGCAGAATTGAGACCTTTCAAAGTTTTGACCCAAGCAAGGGGATTGGGGTTGTCATTTAAGCTCCCCGCCTCAGTTGCCAAAATGTTGTGGGCCAGCCCTGGCTGACTTGTAGGGTGCCAGAGCTCTAGCCTCAGTCCAACTGTCTAGACTGCAGTTTTATAGCCTTGTAATCAAAGTCCTGGAGCCTAAGTCACCTGTCTCTAGTCTCCCTCCCACATTTCACATGCCTTGAATCTCTTGTAGTAAAATTTTCCCCATGGCTCCAAGCCTTCAAACTCACCCCACCCCCAGGAGGTTTTGGTCTTGCCGTGTTCTCAACTTCTAAAATTTCCCCTACTATGCTTGGCTAGAACCCTAATTGCTCCCCACTGAACTTCCAAACATTGCCAATTCAGCAGTCCCTGATAAGAATCAAGATCTAATCTTCCTCTTGAGGTGGTTCTCTGCAAGCATTTTTACCTTGTATCCTTCCCAGATATTTCTTTCAAACTCCTTCTCCGTGTCCTGATCTTCTAAGTCTGCTCATCAAAAATGCCCAACCTTCCTGCACCAAACCCACCAGATTTGGTGCTCATGCACAACTCAGGTCTCTGGCATTTAGCTCCTAGGTGACACACACTAATATTTAAATTATTTACTCAGAAACCTCCTCTTTTACTCACTATGTTCTGTGGAAAAGGTTTAATGTTTTGCTGGGAATTTTCCAGGGAGATACAAGTTGAAGCTGCAAGTGTACTAAAAATACAGTAGACACTAATAAAAACTTTTTTTCTTCCTTTTGTAGTGCAATTTTCCAGAGAACCAGGTTGGCTTGAAGGAACTCTAAATGGCAGGAGAGGACTTATTCCACAAAACTATGTTCAGTTTCTGTAGCTCTCTGCATTTACTGCCCGTAAGGTGTACATGGTATCCATGGATTTTTTTTGTTAGTCACTTCTCTCCACTTTGGTGACTGCTTTTAATCAAGGAAGAGCTTGACAATGGGATGAAGAGCCTAATCTCTATAAAGATGAAATGTTGCCAAATAGGAATTTTAGAAATGTAATTTAAAGGTGTTTTTTTTAGGGGGGAGGGCTGGTGGGTAGTTTAATTTTTTTAAACAGGTTTTACACGTGTAAAGCACAATGGCAATGAGATTGCAGGATAACCAGAATTTTAAGTGAGATATATGGTGGAACTCCAACCTAGCTGTCATTTAGAGCAAAGTTTAAAAGTATTTACATTGCTCTGGTGCTGATGAAATTGACATTTAAAAATTGTATTTATATCCAGTGTTAAATGCTACATCAACCCTCTACTATTCTGGTTCTGAAAATTTTCTGGGCAAAGAGGCTCTTATGCTGAAGGTAGAATAATAATCTGAAAGGAGAGGGGAAGTAACTAGATCAGATTAATCAGATAAATAAATCGCCCTGGGGGAGGAGGGCGCATGATATTTTTAAGTGTCTTCAAAATGCAGATGCCTTTGTGACATGTGTAGCTTCATTTTATATTACTTTTGAGACAGGGCCCATTAACATTTAT